TAATAGGTATTCGGATACACCTAAGTTTTCTCTATCTAGCAAACAACAGTAAAATCTATGATTTTCATTTTGAGATTCTCCTTCAACAAAGCAAAATCTCCTCATTTGCGCACAATGAGAAAATTGGGTTTCACTTCTTTGCGCCCTATTTTCATAGGGAAATAGTTTTCGCTCAAGTAGTCTTCCAATTCTCAATGAAGTGCTCTTTCCAGAGATATCAAATACTGAACAGAAATTCGTCTAATAATGTAGTAGGAGCCACACAAGCGACCAAAGTTTATTAGCTAACCTACTAATACAACAAAATATCCATTTATCCTTCGGCTGTGACTTTCAGCTTCCAGCCGTGTACCTCTTGACTCAGGCGTGCATTAGATCTGTGGAACAACAGCACTGCGCGCAAAAGATTTTTGAACTAGGAATCATAATTACGCGATGAGACTATCACTGCTCAGTTAAAAAAGGAATAGAATAAGCAAGATAGCCAGATAATCTCACAGCGCGAGCAAACTACACGGAAACTGATTGGAGTCTCTTTGATCTTTTGTCGATTGCTGTCAGCAAAACGGAGCGTTTCATTGCCGTCTTATCACAACGATGACTTGACTGCAACTACTTATGCAACGTTTTCCGAGTAGATTCGCCGTGCAACCCCTCGGAATTACTTCCGCTTTTTGCGAATTTTTCTATTATAAAATTTCCACTAGTAATTCCCATAGTGTTTAGACAATGACTGTTGGTGGACCAAAGATCAAGCTTTCCAATGGCCAAGAAATGCCGCAGGTCGGGCTGGGCACGTGGCAGGCAAGTGTTTGACTTTATTCTCGATAACATAACAATTTCGTTCAATTTTTTTAGTCTAAACCAGCAGAGGTAAAAGCAGCCGTGAAAACCGCCATTGAAAATGGATATCGACTTATTGATACAGCTGCCTGTTATGAAAATGAGGCTGAAATAGGCGAAGCTATCGAAGAGCTAATCAAGAGTGGAAAGGTCAAGCGTGAAGAGCTATTTATAACCACAAAGGTTAGTAGGATATTAGGTCGTCCCGAAAGCAAAATCCTTTTTTAAACAAATCAAGCTGTTTTTGATTTCCTAGGCGAAATTGGGAACCGTTCGGTGGAGCAAACCAAGCTCTACAAAATGACCAAGATCCGCCCAAGTAAATCTAGGTAAAATTTGGAGCCAAAAATCAGCATTTACAAACTACTTTATAGATCGGATCTCCTTCAAATTCCAAAGGACCTCCAAACTTGATTATTATAAAGTAGGTACATAGTAGTACCTAAAAATAAATTTGATGAATTTTTTGGGCTCAAAATTAAGTAATTAAAACAGCTCGAAATTACGAAAATGTCACTATCTTCAGCATTCTATGTTAAAAGTATTTTTCGATTAGCTGGGCGCACAGAGGGGAGGTTCTTTGAGGCTAAACTTACTAGGGCTTGTGGTATACGATGACATATGTGGGAAGGACTGGGGCGGAGTTTGCCATGTTTGGATTGTTTTTTTCCCGCTTTCTATGAGGGCAAAAAATCCAGTAAAGGCTTATCCGAATAATACTATGTGTCTAC